GTGTCTGCTGAACAGTGGAGATTGTATTACACAGTTAGGTGTCTGCTGAACAGTGGAGATTGTATAACACAGTTAGGTGTCTGCTGAACAGTGGAGATTGTATTACACAGTTAGGTGTCTGCTGAACAGTGGAGATTGTATTACACAGTTAGGTGTCTGCTGAACAGTGGAGATTGTATTACACAGTTAGGTGTCTGCTGAACAGTGGAGATTGTATTACACAGTTAGGTGTCTGCTGAACAGTGGAGATTGTATTACACAGTTAGGTGTCTGCTGAACAGTGGAGATTGTATAACACAGTTAGGTGTCTGCTGAACAGTGGAGATTGTATAACACAGTTAGGTATCTGCTCAACAGTAAATATCCCAACATTATACGTATTCCGTGCGGCGGCAGCTGTGACGTGTACAGGGGTGCGTGCACCTGGTCGGGATCAGGCTATAATAGTTATTGTTGAAACAGGGAACCCCTACATACATTTCAATAAGCCTCTTGATATCTACATCCAACTTCCCCTTACAGATGTCAGCTTCTCCAAAAGCAACCCTTTAGATATTGTCTCCGTGATTGTGTCGGCGTTTGACTGCTGCCAGTTGCCGTGAAGATCGCGCTCGCCGGGCGTGAGCCTGCATAATAAGTGTGACCACGCTCAGTCGCCTTAGCAGGGTCAGATGGGACAAAAACCTCAATGAGATGTTTCTTCAGCAGTCAGCTCCTCACGCTATGTCTTCTGGACCAATCTATCACATCCCTAAATCTTAGAAAGTAGATTACTCTAATGTTTCACGTCTCACCGCAGTCGAATTGTAAACTCTCTATCAATCTATCTATTATCATCTATCTATGTATTGAACGTACATCTACGTACATGTGTCATTTATACGGGACTTCTATATATGTAGTATCAGCTACATATGTATTACCATATATACATGTATCATCTATACATGATTCATTTACACATGCATTATCTATCTGTGTATTATTCATCTATATATGAATTATCTATATAGGTATTATTTATCAAGATATGTATTATCGATTTATACATATATTGCTTATCTATATCTAATCTAATCTATTTATATAGCGCTGAAGTTTCAGAGTACCTGTTTACAGGTGCTTATATGTATCATCTATCTAATATAGCATACATAATTAGTTAAACATGGATTGTCTGTACATGTATTGTCTATCTATCATGTATTATCTAAGTGGTATTTATCTATATCGTATTATCTTATTAGTATTTATCTATGATGTATTATCTATGAAGTATTTATCTATCATGTATTATCTAAGTGGTATTTATCTATATTGTATTATCTTAGTAGTATTTATCTATCATGTATTATCTAAGTAGTATTTATCTATAATGTATTGTCTAAGTAGTATCTATCTATAATGTGTTATCTAAGTCGTATTTATCTATCATGTATTATCTAAGTCGTATTTATCTATCATGTATTATCTTAGTAGTATTTATCTATGATGTGTTATCTAAGTAGTATTTATCTTTAATGTATTATCTAAGTAGAATATTTATGTATCATGTATTATCTAAGCGGATTTTTATCTATATTGTATTATCTTAGCAGTATGTATGATGTATTATCTAAGTAGTATTTATCTATAATGTATTATCTTAGTAGTATTTATCTATGATGTATTATCTATGTAGTATTTATCTATCATGTATTATCTAAGTGGTATTTATATATATATTGTATTATCTTAGTAGTATTTATCTATGATGTATTATCTTAGTAGTATTTATCTATAATGCATTGTCTAAATAGTATCTATCTATAATGCATTATCTAAGTAGTATTTATCTATAATGTATTATCTGAGTAGTATTTGTCTAATGTGTTATCTAAGTCGTATTTATCTATCATGTATTATCTTAGCAGTATTTATCTATGATGTGTTATCCAAGTAGTATTTATGATGTGTTATCTAGGTAGTTTTTATACATAATGTATTATCTAAGTTGTATTTATCTATAATGTATTATGTAAGTAGTATTAAACCATAATGTATAATCTAAGTAGTATTTATATATACATGTATTATCTGTTTTATACATACATTGTTTTCATATGCATGATTTTTTATACGTGCATTATCAGTCTATGTATGTATTATTTCTCTATGAAAGTATTATCTTTATATAGATGAATATTGATTTATACATGTAACATATATGTATGAATGCATCCTGTCTATCTATAAATGCAGTATTGATTTAGACGTGTAAAATCTGTCTAAACGTGTGTTATCTTTCTTTATATGCAATATCTATATGACCATTATTTGTATATTCATTATATATCCGTTCATGTTATGTATATCTACACATGCATTACATATTTATATATGTATATCATATAATGCATTATCTATTTTTATCATGTATCTATGCATGCATTATCTATGTATATAATTATGCCTTATTTACCTATGTATTATCTATTTATGATTGTATTTTCTATGTTTGTTTAGCTATCAATATATTATCGATCTATTTTTATTCTTCTGTATATGTATTATCTAGCTCTATATGTGTAATATTTCAATACATGTATTCTCTATCTATGTGTATAAATAATATCTGTCTAGAAATATAAACAATATATATATATATATCTATAGCTTTTATTTATATATGATGTATATATCTATTGATCCATCTATCCATCTTCGATATAGACAGATAGCCAGTTAGAGTATATCTCGCCGTCCAGCCCCGCCTAATGAGCCAGCCCTTGTGGGACAAGGGACACTGTCAGGCCCGCTATTTACCCGTCCTCTCACACCCCTAACAGTCTGCAAGGTGGTTTGTATTGCCGTTGAGCGTGCCTTTCCCCTCGTGTGTAAGTGAGCCTCGGTTTCCACACCTTGACACACACAGTAAGCGACAATAGCTCTTGACAAAAACTCGAGTCAAGTGCTTGGCCAGCAGTCGCGGCGCTTTTTGCTTAGCATTATAGTATCTCTAAGACGTGCCGTGCTCATGGCGGAATGTGTACTAATAAGACGAGTCGTGTTTATATGACGGCGCTAAGTGGCGCGGCCGCCTTTGACACGACACAATGTTCAAACAGTGTGCCCCTCAGCACTATAACCATGCTTGTCTTTGAAACGACCTGGATAGTCGATTCCACTCCAGGTATCTGTAAAATCCTATATACTGTGGGCAGAGAAGTTCACATCACACTCAGCCATGTGTCGGGCGTGATCAAGTAGCTCATGTATCTGGCGCGATTCCGGGCCGCACTAGAATGTTTGTTCTATTACCATGTAATATAGCATGTACAATACTGAAATACAGCACCCCTTACAAGTAGCAAGAATGAGATATAGCAGTGTGAAGGATGTATAGAGCAGCGTTGTAGTGATACAACTGACAATATCACAGATGGTCACCAACAGACATGAAACACGCACTACACAATATAAAGAGAAACGTGGAGATGGACAGGGGGAAGCTTTAAACACATTAACAAATTAATCACTTGGATAAGATGAAAAACACTCTGCACAACTGACCCGACTTCAGCAGCACACGCTCACTGTAAGTTAAATATAAAACCGTCATACAATTGGTCCAAGTTGTGTAACACGTTCAATACAGTTAAATATAAAACCGTCATACAATTGGTCCAAGTTGTGCCACAAGCTCAATACAGTTAAATATAAAACCGTCATACAATTGGTCCAAATTGTGTAACACGTTCAATACAGTTAAATATAAAACCGTCATACAATTGGTCCAAGTTGTGCCACAAGCTCAATACAGTTAAATATAAAATCGTCATACAATTGGTCCAAGTTGTGTAACACGTTCAATACAGTTAAATATAAAACCGTCATACAATTGGTCCAAGTTGTGCCACAAGCTCAATACAGTTAAATATAAAACCGTCATACAATTGGTCCAAGTTGTGCCACAAGCTCAATACAGTTAAATATAAAACCGTCATACAATTGGTCCAAGTTGTGCCACAAGCTCAATACAGTTAAATATAAAACCGTCATACAATTGGTCCAAGTTGTGCCACAAGCTCAATACAGTTAAATATAAAATCGTCACACAATTGGTCCAAGTTGTGCCACAAGCTCAATACAGTTAAATATAAAACCGTCATACAATTGGTCCAAGTTGTGCCACAAGCTCAATACAGTTAAATATAAAACCGTCATACAATTGGTCCAAGTTGTGCCACAAGCTCAATACAGTTAAATATAAAATCGTCACACAATTGGTCCAAGTTGTGCCACAAGCTCAATACAGTTAAATATAAAACCGTCATACAATTGGTCCAAGTTGTGCCACAAGCTCAATACAGTTAAATATAAAACCGTCATGCAATTGGTCCAAGTTCCTCGATACACTCAATACAGTTGAATATAAGACCGTCACACAATTGGTCCAAGTTGCACCACGCTCACGTGTGTTGTGCGTGTGCGTATGCGTGTGCGTATGCGTGTGCATGTGTGTGTGTGCATGTGTGTGTGTGCATGTGTGTGTGTGTGCGTGCGTGTGTGTGCATGTGCGTGTGTGCGTGTGCATGTGTGCGTGCGTGTGTGTGCGTGTGTGTGCATGTGTGTGTGTGTGTGTGTGTGTGTGTGTGTGTGTGTGTGTGTGTGTGTGTGTGTGTGTGTGTGTGTGTGTGTGTGTGTGTGTGTGTGTGTGTGTGTGTGTGTGTGTGTTTCGCCGCTGTGAATAAGGCGTTAAGATTGTTGCTTCATGAAAGTGTGTTGTCCAACGATCCTGGGAAGCTACCACGCTGCAACAAGGACCCCGCCCAACTCGTTAACACAGCCACGTGATTTCATTCCTGAAACACCCTTACCTTCAACCAAGTACGACATCTATCTGAATATACAAAAACAACGAACTCAGGCGCATCTCAAGGTCAACTTTAAATGTACTGCATGGCCAACTTATTGAAAGCTATGGTACGCTTGTTGCGTTAATAGAATATTGCACTTACATTCTCATTGCCTGCCTTCCACGTAAGGTTGACGGAATCCACGTCTGGCGGAATGACCATTGATGCAGACAATCCGGGATAGTTCAGAAATGGTGTGACTCTACCGTCCGAAATAATGGGTATGTCCTTTGCTAATTCAGTCCCTGAAAATACATACAACGTTTCTATCAACATGTCCCCGAACTACACTGAGGGGGAAACAGTATTACATGTTATGAGCAGGTTAATCTGTGATAGAAATACAATGTGTGTGGACTTTTTTTGCACATGGAAGCACGTGGATATTCTAATGTGCAATCAGCAACGAGATACAGTTGGTTGGCTACAACCTGCTGCACAGTTAAACCGTAATGTCATTCCCCACCCTCACGAGACACAATGGTAGACACAACAGACATCGTGTTCCAGATGCCCGCCTACTACATTCTGGCTCTCGGGGACATTTACCTGCTTTTCTGCCCCCTCCCAACGCTGAGTTAACATCGCTAACAAGAAACCATTTCATGGCTGATAAGAAACCGCTTTAATGCTAATAAGAATCGCCGAATCGCTAATAAGAAATGGCTATATCGTTCGTTAATAAGAAACCGTACCATGTCTTATAAGAACATGCCTTATCGCCAACAAGAAATAGGTTCAACGTTAATGATAAATCGCCTTATTTTTAATAGTGACATTGACTCATACAATTGTCTAATTGCTAATTAGACATCGCGTCAATGCTATTAAGAATTAGCTTCAACGAAAATAAGAAATTGTTCATGGTTTATAAAGGAGTAAGTGAGTGTCGTTTTACGCCGCTTTTAGCAATATCCCAGTAATATGACGACGGGGGACACAAGATATGGTCTTCACACATTCTACCCATGTGGGGAATCATGGTTAACAAACATCGAGTTTTCGAAGAAGACCAGGTTTCGATTTGTATTCGTGGTCATAAGTAAGAGCTGACACTTTTGAAATATTTACCGGAACAAAAATCTTTCTTCATTTCCAGTGAAGTGATTATCAAGGACAAACATGAAATCAATAAATGAAAGAAGTTTGTAAACGTATACGAGACGATATTCCTTACTGATCATATCGCTGTGATTGCCAGATGTTGATGTCAGATTTCAAGATGAGTTGACTACATTTTCACTCAATACCCGTTCAGTGACAAACTATAATATCACAGTATATAGAATTAGCCTTGGTTTCGTTACGATACAGGGTGTGTACCCAGGATGCTGTATACTACAGTGACAAGTGTAAGTACTTTATCTATGTATGGTTCGTGTTCACTTCCAGTATGTGATCAAAATAATCTCTACATCCGTAATAGAATCCTTTGTATCAGAGAGATACACGCTATTCTCAAAAACATAATCTTCGTTAATCCAGAACGCTTCATGTGCGTGTGAATCAACTTTGAAATGTTAATATATAACTTCAATCCGCCATAAGATCTAAAAATCTCCACTGCGAATGACGAGACGAGAATGTATATTTCAAGGCGATAGAGCAAACACCATGGACACTTCCGCATGTTTTATGAAAATACGTCTTGTGTAACGCTGGTTGATTTGCCAGGAAAGAGAGTAAATGACGAGAAGTAACTCGTATGCTGCCGGGATGTTCAAACTAATCCGAGTTTCTAGGTTTACAATGAGGTGATGAACGTACACCCGAGATCGGTACTCCATGCCGTGATGAATGTACACCCGAGATCGGTACTCCATGCCGTGATGAACGTATACCCGAGATCGGTACTCCATGCCGTGATGAATGTACACTCGAGATCGGTACTCCATGCCGTGATGAATGTACACTCGAGATCGGTACTCCATGCCGTGATGAACGTACACCCGAGATCGGTACTCCATGCCGTGATGAATGTACACACGAGATCGGTACTCCATGCCGTGATGAACGTATACCCGAGATCGGTACTCCATGTCGTGATGAATGTACACTCGAGATCGGTACTCCATGCCGTGATGAACGTATACCCGAGATCGGTACTCCATGTCGTGATGAATGTACACTCGAGATCGGTACTCCATGCCGTGATGAATGTACACCCGAGATTGGTACTCCATGCCGTGATGAATGTACACCCGAGATTGGTACTCCATGTCGTGATGAATGTACACTCGAGATCGGTACTCCATGCCGTGATGAACGTACACCCGAGATCGGTACTCCATGCCGTGATGAATGTACACACGAGATCGGTACTCCATGCCGTGATGAACGTATACCCGAGATCGGTACTCCATGCCGTGATGAATGTACACTCGAGATCGGTACTCCATGCCGTGATGAATGTACACCCGAGATCGGTACTCCATGCCGTGATGAATGTACACCCGAGATCGGTACTCCATGCCGTGATGAATGTACACTCGAGATCGGTACTCCATGCCGTGATGAATGTACACCCGAGATCGGTACTCCATGCCGTGATGAATGTACACCCGAGATCGGTACTCCATGCCGTGATGAATGTACACCATAGTTCGAATCCACATGGAGTTCAGTGTAGGCGTTGTAACTGCAAATTCCCGTTAGAATAGCCAGTGATGTTTGTCATCTGATTAGTTGTAATATCCAAATTGATGGACAAGTTAACCTAAGTGGCATTCCCGAACAGTGTGGGCAGATAATAGAGCATCACGTGATCAAGGCTATTCCCCTGTGTCGACTACCTAAACATGCAGTTTATAACTGCATCGCTTAGAAGAAAACGATAAGAGCACTTATTCTACAAATCTTCTTTCAGTATTAAAACGGTACATAACATTGTATTAGCGAGTTAGTATTAAACAAAATGGTATCCACCATGGGGCTGTGTGTGTGTCGGCTGTGAGAAGGCCCGGTGCCAGAGTGCAGCTCGCCGACAAGAAGCTCGGGCGCAGACAATCACATTATGACAGAAAATGACACTTTTGTTACGTCGTTGTCATGTGGATATTAACGCAACATCAGTATTAATACTTAATACGATTGTGAAACATGGGATGAGTTGGACATGATTATATACCGTGTGTATGTTTATGGACTTGATAGCGTAACCAAGTGATTGGTGATGAGATAGGCACCATGACGTAGCCAAGTGATTGGTGATGAGATAGGCACCATGACGTAAACAAGTGTATGGTGATGAGATAGGCACCATGACGTAACCAAGTGTATGGTGATGAGATAGGCACCATGACGTAAACAAGTGTATGGTGATGAGATAGGCACCATGACGTAACCAAGTGTATGGTGATGAGATAGGCACCATGACGTAAACAAGTGTATGGTGATGAGATAGGCACCATGACGTAACCAAGTGTATGGTGATGAGATAGGCACCATGACGTAACCAAGTGTATGGTGATAAGATAGGCACCATGACGTAAACAAGTGTATGGTGATGAGATAGGCACCATGACGTAAACAAGTGTATGGTGATGAGATAGGCACCATGACGTAACCAAGTGTATGGTGATGAGATAGGCACCATGACGTAAACAAGTGTTTATGGTGATGAGATAGGCACCATGACGTAACCAAGTGTATGGTGATGAGATAGGCACCATGACGTAACCAAGTGTATGGTGATGAGATAGGCACCATGACGTAAACAAGTGTATGGTGATGAGATAGGCACCATGACGTAACCAAGTGATTGGTGATGAGATAGGCACCATGACGTAACCAAGTGTATGGTGATGAGATAGGCACCATGACGTTACCAAGTGATTGGTGATGAGATAGGCACCATGACGTTACCAAGTGTATGGTGATGAACTTCGTGATGTAATCTTGTGTGTGTGGTGATGAACTTCGTGATGTAACTTAGTGAATGTGGTGATGAACTTCTTGATGTAATCTTGTCTGTGTGGTGATGAACTTCGTGATGTAACTTAGTGAATGTGGTGATGAACTTCGTGATGTAATCTTGTGTGTGTGGTGATGAACTTCGTGATGTAACTTAGTGAATGTGGTGATGAACTTCGTGATGTAATCTTGTGTGTGTGGTGATGAACTTCGTGATGTAACTTAGTGAATGTGGTGATGAACTTCGTGATGTAATCTTGTGTGTGTGGTGATGGACTTCTTGATGTAATCTTGTGCATGTGGTGATGAACTTCGTGATGTAATCTTGTGTGTGTGGTGATGGAACTCTTGATGGAATATTGTTCCTGTGCATACATACCTAAACACATATAGTGTAAGTACATTGCACGTGGCAGGTGAAGACGAATTCCACTGCATCATTCCTATACAATAGCCAATGTCATATGGCAGATCAGAGAGAAACCTTCCACATATTCAAATGCGCACCTCGCATAGTCAAACAGAAACCAGTTATTTCTAAATTTCTAGCAATACCATTGTTGTCTAACATTGTTGCTACACTAGCATATGCCTTCTACAATGTTTATTACAGTCAGCGATGTCTAGTCGTAAACAGTACAACAGGCAATATATTCACGACATTGAAGCTAGCATGCTGACAAACATAGTTGCTGATATTAAAGGTTACACTTGTCCACAGAAATAGCTATCAATACATAGATGTGTTGCTAAAAGTTGTTCTCGATTAACAGGCACGTGGCCTTTACCTAGAGGGCGAGCTGTGGCAGTGTTCCTCCTCCGTGCAACTAGCCTACACCGACCGGCCTTCAGCAGCCTGCTAGCCATTACTACGTTACAGTATACACACTTTGGACTTTTCCCTGAGAAAACAATACTTTTTACATTATTGCAAGCAAACATGTTTCCAATTTAGCAGACATCAACAGTGGTGGAGCAAATCACTTGACATTCTTAAATCTAGCATTTGTGTTGGTTCGCCTGATGGTTGTCATTGCTGCGCGTGCACAGAGTGGGGGCAGGACGGCCCACATAACACCATGTACTTCTGCTACTTCAATAACCATCTCGCCAGCTGCACTCGCTGACTCCGCCATTCAGATACTTCTAGCCAACGAAAAAAGGATACAGCAATAAAACATATTGGTCTCCGTCGTAAATATATCTACAAACCTACAACCCCGCCAGTCCCGCGGCGTACAGTCATTTATTTCATGATATCAATGAATATCCTGCGCAGATGTCCCCGCGCTGAGTCCCGCGAGTTGCTCTAACACACGCTGTAGTAGGGCGTGTAGCTATTCATACATACTTCCCAGTGTTCTCACAAGACTTTAGACATACGTCTAAGTAATTACTTACATATATTCTCAGATTTCTACTTTTTAATTCATTCCGTATATCTTTGAAAATATATGTAATGTGGTTTTGCATTATTCATTTAGAATGTAAAGCCATAAAACAGACTCAAAATAAGTGTTCCTAACAAGGTTTGCGACAACAAGGGAGAGTATTTCTTTCGATATTAATATGTATAACTACTTTCAGAAGGCATATTGGACAGACCTACTGGTACGTATTGTCGTAGTAAGAAATGTCTTTAGTAATGCTTATTTACACTTATTTATTTTAAGAACGTGAGATAAATAAATATAGTTAAAACATAACAGGAGGACACTAAGTCGGGGAAAGGATTTTTTTAAATAAAATGTACCGCCTCCTTTCTATGTTGTCATCGCCAATCATGAAATGAACAGGAATATTTTAACATAGCTGACACCGGAAGAAACAGCTACAATTCCATTAAAATACACTTCCCTTGGGAGCCGAGAAAAGGCAGCGGTTGAAATACAGTCCAGTTTTATAAGAAAAGTAGAACTATTTATCAGACCCTTAAAATCCAAAGGGATAATTTCAATGGTGATATGGATAGCGTCAGTTGTGTTGTGTAAATATTTCGGGGCTGTATTAGAAATATGAATGCTAATACCAATAACCTTAAGCTTTAGTCTAATACACGAAACATTATCAACTACATAGGAATTAATTGTTCCATTGAACATTTTAGAAAATGTCACTCTGCATAGTGTACTAACATGAGAAACTTAATATCTTAAAAACATCTTTACTCTGCAGAAAACTTTCAAATCATTAATGCAAATGCGATTTCTAGCGGCGTCTACGACTTCTACAATCCAACAAATATTCACGAACGAAGATATTTACACGAATCACTTTCAGTGTGCTGTACATACTTGCAGCCATTGTCATTATAAAACAAGGGGCTAACAAAGCAGTTTGTGAGAAAAAAGTAAAATGTTTTTAATACACCGCAAATCTATTTTAGTTTAAAAATTAACATTTCCGACCTTTAAAAAGTGTATAAATTTCTACTTTGGCCTTATACCAGAGTTATCTGACGATCACCTTGTGAGAATAAATATCAGGTCGTGTAGGCGTTCTCACAATCAGTTTGCTTGAATACACTTTCCTAATCAGGGGTCATAATTTTATAAATTTGCTTTTTCTATAAGGTCACTTTTGATTTTACTATCCAAATAAAAAGGACATTACTTTTGAATGCACATTGAAATCATCGTCTATTTATGTGATTTATATTCAAATGGATATACACAGGTTTTGTTAGCAATATTCTTAGCTGACTTCCATTCGAAAAACTAAACCCTTCTCGTGAACTCTCTACATCTGATGAAATAGTCAGCAATGTATCACACTCAATTAAACCTATGTTTAAAGTGTGCGTGTTATATACATCGACCACAGCCAAACATATGCTGCGTGAGAGCCAGCAGTCGGTCGGGTAGCTTGACGAGGCCCCTAGTGTATACATGTTAGAAGCATTGTGGGGCATTCGTTGACGAAGAAACAGCATGAATCAGTTGACGCAGAGACAGAAGACATGTCAAACAAGCTGTTAATCGCCCCTTCCCCTCAATTTTCCCTTAGACAGGGGTATGAGTCAAACTCGCACATCTTCATTGCGCACTCAAGACATATAATCACAACAAAAGGTTTGTTTGAAAACAAAAAATATTAAACATTAAACAGGTTTCTACCCGATATCTACAATTCATTATCACAGAAATATCAACACACTAATTCTATTTCAAACTGAATGAAATGCGTCAGCACGTTGATATTAAATATTCTGTATATTTCTTTAAAAAGGAAAAAGTTCTATCTTACTCTCTCCGCACTGATCTCAACACGAAGTAGCAGCGTACATGATGAAATACCTATGCAGCTTGTAGAACGGACGTGGGATATCATCGTCCACTACTGTTCTCGTTTATATATAGCGACTAGAATTATATATACAAGCCTCATTTGTAATTTAAATATTAAACAACATGGACATAAAACCAACTAAATGTGTACGTCCTGATGAACGTGTTGATTACCAAAGTGAAAATTAAAACATCTCTCAAAATAATTGTAACTTCAAGGCAAATGGTCCTACGAGTTGCTCGTTCAATACCAGTAGTGAAGGCCATTTTTCTAAGTTCTAATGTGACCATTTAATACTAGTGTGACCAAGGGCTACTGCTCTGCGCGTGGTTTAGGAATTCCGCCTTATTGCCCCTTAATAAACAAGGGGTAGTTACTGTTAATGTGCCATTAACATATCTCCCCTCGTCATGGAAGTGTTTTGAAAATCCTACACTCATTGAATACGTACATAAGTGTTATGTCAAGACATTTAAAAACGAAATACCCTAGCTTTCTCCCGTAAGTGATCATACAAGAACATAGCGTACATCATTTCTTCAGTCCGCAATGACGAATAACTGGCAAATGTCTTTTTGGCATAGCAGCTCGGAATAGAAATGCTCTTGTCCATAAAAGAACATCATGTAGAATCGCTCTTATATACATAAATACCGTGACTAAAATGTGTGTACAATACACATGATATTCATATCAGCCTTGTGAATGAGATCGCGGGCTTGTAGTACTGATCACTGAATGCGTAACACAGGCCTGGGACGGCATGTTGACTTACACCGCTGCTTGGAATCAACTACGTCTAAGATAAATAGAAAACTCGACGATAAAATATAACCGTTTCTATTGCACTGTATCTTAACATAACTTGAAAAATGGCAAGGCAAAAATCCTAAAATCTACCACGGACTTGGTTATATAGGTCCGTGAATCTACTAAACACGATTTGCATGTCGGGAAAAATAACTAAAAGCTGGGCTTACCAACTCTTAGGAAAAGTGAATGTAGTGTTGTTGTGCCGTGTAGAGGAAACTAGTGGAGTTGAGATTGTTTCTAGAGGGCACTCGCCGACACGCTGGGCCCAGGAAATAAGTTCTTCTGAAGATATTACATTCTGCCTCTATGCCGAAATGACTACTTGTCGACGGGAGGCCGTCTTATTCAAACTGGAATTTCCATGTTTTTCGACTGCAATAAAATATGTGAATATCTGACAGGGTTGCATGCATCCCTTGTACCCCAGTCATCCGGACGGCACCGGTGAGGTGAAAGTCCATACGTGCCGCGACCATGGTGTATCTGACGTTACAGACACGCGCCCCTCTCGGAGTTAGTACTATCACCTGCTGCATCACATGTAAAAAGTTGTTAATGTGCTCAACACGCTTCCTTTGCACACACAAACCTACATATACCAATCCTTCAACAAACATCGTCTTTATACCTGGCGTCGAAGTACCGCCGTACCACCTATCAGTGCTACATAATCCATATGTTTTATGAGAAAAGTTTCAATCAGTTCTTACGATCATAAGATTTCAAACTTTCTTTTGCATTTTGTGTGGCTTATATATAATCCTGTGGAGAACTCCGTGTGGTGATACGCCGTCACGGTACCACATCGCCTGGTGATTACCGTGAAATATACTGAAAGCAGCGCGCGCGGGTCAACACCATGCAAAAGGTCAGTGACAATAATTTCAAGGGAGGCGCGAAATCATTATACAGACACGACAGTACTGTGTATCGCTGCGGAAATGTACACAGCAAAATGGTTTCACAAAGTGTGAACTTTGTGTGAGAGTTGTGAGAGCGACGACCATGATGAGTTCTAAATGTCTATTTAGCCTACTAGTTGTAGCTTACCTTAACGCTGTGTAACGTACATAACTGCAGGTCACTGAACAGGTCTGACTGTTTTATTTAAACGGTCTGACTAATACGCATGTAAGCAAAAATATGGAAGCACTTTGCCAAGCTGGATGTCCCTGAAATAACTCACCAATAAGTTCTCTGATCTGAGCTTTATCTATCCACAACGACAGGCGACTGTGTCCGCGCGACCGACCGACGACGTTGCCGAGGCACATGGAGAGAAGAAGGATGACCACCAGTAGCCCACCGACTCTCCCCAGCATGGCGGGCCCCAGGCCGATAACGCCCATCAGCCGGACAGGCAGGGGTTGAGGCGGGGGTGGGGTGACACCCGGGAATCAGCAGCCAGGGTGGGTGGGACACACCTTTGTTTTCTTTGTAGGTACACTACTCACGTATGGGCACACATCGCACATTAATGTACACTGATACTGTGGCAAGGGCCGATGTCTCATCCTCCATACAAGCAGTGAATGGTTCCCTCTGATGTAAGTGCGTTGTGTGTCGCCACATGAAGAGTACTCCCCATGTACAGCAACTTGGACTGTGCTGAGTGATATCACTGGACACAATATTACACACACACCAAATAACACTCCTACTCCGTTCAATGGTACAGGTTACTAAGAGGTAAACAATTTCCGCAAATCCGTAAGAATGGTAGCTGTTAGATCTCACAGTACTTCCGACACCGAGTCTACTGATCCTTACCCGCGGGCAACCGGGTGCATTTGACCATTACACAGCCTTAGGACTAGGTCTGCTTGTTTCATTGACCACTGGCAAAATAACCCGGCACAGCTGGGGGGTTGAGGTAACATCCTGTCCCTCCCATCGTCCAGCCCTACCCGGCTAACTAATTCAAGACCAGGGTGCCCGGGGGGTGGTGTTGACGCCGCTACCCTCAGAGGAAAACGAGATCACAGTTATACGTTTACTCCTTGAATTCATAATGTGTACAGCTTTGAACAAACGTTCTGAGAAACATGACTAAAGTTTCCAAGTTTCCATTAAGTTGAGTCGGACGTGTTTCCTCCAGTGCCAGTGAATGTCCAGTGACGGAGCAAGTGAGGAGCGAGGGTGTTTCAGCCTTGTAGAGAGGCACGTGTAGACAGACAGAGGCAAGTGGCGGGCGGGTGAACGAGCGAGCGGGCGGTCGGTCGGGCGGTCTCCCAGCACTGAGGTAGAGCGATCGTGTGTTTCTCTCCACCGACACACTACTGCTGCCAGGCACAGAGATTGGTCTACACAGACAAATCTCCGTGCTTTTATTGTCCAACTCCTATTGACAGTTGTGGCCATGGGGTCATGGGCTCTGGTTGTGTTTGGGAAAGCGTAATTAGTGAAGGGGTGATGTTGACTCGAGCTATGGATAAATATTGTTCTTGCCCCGTCTCATTAAGTGAGTGTCGACTCTGCATTTAACATAGGGGCGGTTTCCCAGTGAGAACGAGAAACGATTTCAAACAAATCAGTTAAAACCGAAACTGTTTTTCGACCGACTCTGAAGACATCTTTATGTAAAGCACTCGTAATATGTAGTTAATTACAACTTCTTGTTTTTAGGTCCAACCAGATTTCACATCAAACAATGCAATCCATAGCACTTGGCCCAAACAAAGACGGAGAATCCTGGAGGCCCATAAACAATTATACTGAAGGACCAATAGTCGGGTAGAGATCAACTGCCGACCTCATAGATGGGTGGCCACAGAGACGGGTGGATGCAGAATTGCTTTCAGTTTACTGATGGATGTTGGGATAATGAGAGACTGACAGACGCATGGGGGTTCCGATAATAAAGCCCCAGAGGACGGGTGGGTGTTCGGATAATGAGGGACACACAGACCGGTGGGTGTTCAGATAATGAAGGACCCACAGACGGGTGAGTGTTGGGATAATGAGGGATCCACAGACGGATGGATGTTGAGGACCCACAGAAGGGTGGATGTTCAGATTATGAAATACCAACAGACCGGTGGGTGTTCAGATAATGAAGGACCCACAGACGGGTGAGTGTTGAGATAATGAGGGGACCCATAGACGAGTGGGTGTTGAGATAATGAGCGCCCCACAGACGGAGGGGTGTTGAGATAATGAGGGACCCACAGGCGGGTTGGTGTTTAGATAATGAGGGACCCAGAGACGGGTGAGTGTTCAGAAAAGGAGTGACACAGAGACGGGTGGGTGTTCGGATAATGAGGGACCCACAGACGGGTGAGTGTTGACATAATGAGGGACACACAGACGGGTGGGTGTTCAGATAACGAGGGACGAACAGACGGGTGGGTGTTGGGATAATGAAGGACACACAGATAGATGGGTGTTTAGATAATGAGGGACCCACAGGTGGGTGGGTGTTCAGATAATGAGGGACCTACAGTCGGGTGAGTGTTGGGATAATGAAGGACACACAGACGGGTGGGTGTTGGCATAATGAAGGACCCACGGATGGATGGGTGTTCAGATAATGAGGGACCCACAGACGGATGGGTGTTCAGATAATGAGGGACCCACAGATGGGTGAGTGTTGGAATAATGAAGGACCCACAGACGAGTGGATGTTCGGATAATGAGGGACCCACTGACGACTGGGTGTTCGGATAATGAGGGACCCACAGACGGGTGAGTGTTGGGATAATGAAGGACACATAGCGGGGTGGGTGTTCAGATAATGAAGGACACACAGAGGATGGGTGTTCAGATAATGAAGGACACACAGACGGGTGGGTGTTCAGATAATGAAGGACACACAGATGGGTGGGTGTTCAGATAATAAGGGACACACAGACGGGTGAGTGTTGACATAATGAAGGACACACAGACAGGTGGGTGTTCAGATAATGAGGGACCCACAGACGGATGATTGTTCAGATAACGAGGGACGAACAGACGGGTGGGTGTTGGGATAATGAAGGACACACAGATAGATGGGTGTTTAGATAATGAGGGACCCACAGGTGGGTGGGTGTTCAGATAATGAGGGACCCACAGTCGGGTGAGTGTTGGGATAATGAAGGACACACAGACGGGTGGGTGTTGGCATAATGAAGGACCCACGGATGGATGGGTGTTCAGATAATGAGGGACCCACAGACGGATGGGTGTTCAGATAATGAGGGACCCACAGATGGGTGAGTGTTGGAATAATGAAGGACCCACAGACGAGTGGATGTTCGGATAATGAGGGACCCACTGACGACTGGGTGTTCGGATAATGAGGGACCCACAGACGGGTGAGTGTTGGGATAATGAAGGACACATAGCGGGGTGGGTGTTCAGATAATGAAGGACACACAGAGGATGGGTGTTCAGATAATGAAGGACACACAGACGGGTGGGTGTTCAGATAATGAAGGACACACAGATGGGTGGGTGTTCAGATAATAAGGGACACACAGACGGAAAGATGTTGGGATAATGAGGGACACACATACGGAAAGATGTTGGGATAATCAGGGACCCACAGTCGGGTGAGTGTTGGGATAATGAAGGACACACAGACGGGTGGGTGTTGGCATAATGAAGGACCCACGGATGGATGGGTGTTCAGATAATGAGGGACCCACAGACGGATGGGTGTTCAGATAATAAAGGATACACAGATGGGTGGGTGTTCAGATAATGAGGGACACACATACGGAAAGATGTTGGGATAATGAGGGACCCACAGTCGGGTGAGTGTTGGGATAATGAAGGACACACAGACGGGTGGGTGTTCAGATAATGAAGGACACACAGACGGGTGGGTGTTCAGATAATGAAGGACACATAGCGGGGTGGGTGTTCAGATAATGAAGGACACACAGATGGGTGGATGTTCAGATAATGAGGGACACACATACGGAAAGATGTTGGGATAATGAAGGACACACAGATGGGTGGGTGTTCAGATAATAAGGGACACACAGACGGAACGATGTTGGGATAATGAGGGACACACATACGGAAAGATGTTGGGATAATGAGGGACCCACAGTCGGGTGAGTGTTGGGATAATGAAGGACACACAGACGGGTGGGTGTTGGCATAATGAAGGACCCACGGATGGATGGGTGTTCAGATAATGAGGGACCCACAGACGGATGGGTGTTCAGATAATAAAGGATACACAGATGGGTGGGTGTTCAGATAATGAGGGACACACATACGGAAAGATGTTGGGATAATGAAGGACACACAGACGGGTGGGTGTTCAGATAATGAAGGACACACAGACGGGTGGGTGTTCAGATAATGAAGGACACACAGACGGATGGGTGTTCAGATAATGAAGGACACACAGATGGGTGGATGTTTAGATAATGAGGGACACACAGACGGAAAGATGTTGGGATAATGAAGGACCCACGGATGGATGGGTGTTCAGATAATGAGGGACCCACATACGGGTGAGTGTTGGGATAATGAAGGACACACAAACGGGTTGGTGTTCAGATAATGAAGGACACACAGACGGATGGGTGCTTAGATAATGAAGGACACATAGACAGGTGAGTGTTTAGATCTTGAGGGACCCACAGGCGGGTGAATGTTGGCATAATGAGGGACCCACAGAGGTGTGGCTGTTCAGATAATGAAGGACCCACAGATGGGTGAGTGTTGTGATAATGAGGGACCCACAGACGGGTGGTTGTTCAGATAGTGAGGGACTCACAGACGGGTGACTGTTGGGATAATGAAGGACACACGGACGGATGGGTGTTGAGATAATGAGGGACAAACAGACGGAAAGATGTTGAGATAATGAGGGACACACAGACGGGTGTGTGTTGGGATAATGAAGGACACACAGACGGGTGGGTGTTCAGATAATGAGGGACTCACAAACGGGTGGGTGTTCGCAAAATGAGGGACTCACAGACGGGTGAGTGTTGGGATAATGAAGTACACACAGACGGGTGGTTGTTCAGATAATGAGGGACTCACAGACGGGTGAGTTTTGGGATAATGAAGGACCCACGGATGGATGGGTGTTTAGATAATGAGGGACCCACAGGTGGTTTGGTGTTCAGATAATGAGGGACTCACAGACGGGTGAGTGTAGGGATAATGAGGGACACACAGACGGATGTGTTTTCAGATAATGAGGGACTCACAGACGGAAGGGTGTTCGGATAATGAGGGACAAATAGACGGATGGGTGTTGTGATAATGAAGGACACACAGACGGGTGTGTGTTGGCATAATGGAAGACACACAGACGGATGGGTGTTTAGATAATGAAGGACACACAGATGGGTGGGTGTTCAGATAATGAGGGACAAACAGACGGAAAGATGTTGAGATAATGAGGGACACACAGACGGGTGGGTGTTGGGATAATGAAGGACACACAGACGGGTGGGTGTTCAGATAATGAGGGACTCACAGACGGGTGAGTGATTGGATAATGAAGGACTCACAGACGGGTGGTGTTCAGATAATGAGGGACCCACAGACTGGTGAATGTTAGCATAACGAGGGACTCACAAACGGGTGAGTATTGGGAAAAGGAAGGCCACATGGACGGGTGGGTGTTCGGATAATGAGGGACCCACAGACGGATGGGTGTTCGCAAAATGAGGGACTCACAGACGGGTGAGTGTTGGGATAATGAAGTACACACAGACGGGTGGTTGTTCAGATAGTGAGGAACTCACAGACGGGTGACTGTTGGGATAATGAAGGACCCACGGATGGATGGGTGTTTAGATAATGAGGGACTCACAGGTGGTTTGGTGTTCAGATAATGAGGGACTCACAGACGGGTGAGTGTTGGGATAATGAAGGACACACAGACGGGTGGCTGTTCAGATAATGAGGGCCCCACAGACGGGTGACTGTTGAGATAATGAGGGCCCGACAGACGGAGGGGTGTTGAGATACTAAGGGACCCACAGGCGGATGGGTGTTCAGATAATGAGGGACCCAGAGACGGGTAAGTGCTCAAATTAATGGGACCTAAGGACGGATGGGTGTTCAGATAATGAGGGACCCACAGATGGGTGGGTGTGCAGATAATGAGGGACCCACAGACGGGTGAGTGTTGGCATAATGAGGGACTCACAGGCAGATTGTTGTTCAGACAATGAGGGACTCACACATGCGTGAGTGTTGGGATAATGAAGGACACACAGACGGGTGAGTGTTCAGATCTTGAGGGACCCACAGGCGGGTGAAGGTTGGCATAATTAGGGACCCACAGAGGTGTGGCTG